AAGAAGTGAGTGGTGAGGGAGAGAGGGAGTTGAGCAGGGCTGAGGCTGGGGCTGCCATCTCACTGGTGTGGTCCATGGGGCTTGGGGCTGGAATGTGCAGTTGCAGAGCTCCAGTAGGGAGTGGGATGGGGCTGTGAGCAGCTTGTCTGGGAGGTCAGGGGGTGGAGCTGGCTCCCCAGTGCAGCATGTGTTTTCAGGGAAGGCATGGGGGGGCACAAGCCCCCCAGATTAGTGTGTGGGGGAGGGGTGGGTGTGGGCTGCCCACTGTGGGCTCAGGCTCTCTGCCCTGGTGCCCTCCTCCTGGGGCCTCTGTGGCCCAGCAGGCAGGACCTGGCATGGCTGGGCAGAGCAGGGCTGAGTGGGGATGCTCCTTGTTGCTGCAAGCCCTGTGCTGCCCTGGCAAGGTACCCTCTGCCCACCTGGCAGCTGCGGGGGTGGTAGTGCAGGGTTGTGTCCATCAGGGCTGAGGGGTGGGAGGGCTGTGGGTGGGGGGTGAGGGGCACCAGCAGGGTGGGGAGGCTGTTGTTTGGGAGTAAGGTCCTGGACCTGAGTCCTGGTGAGCAAAGGAGCTCTGATTTTTTTTTTCTCTACAATAACCCCAAAATCAAATACCAAAATTTATAGGTACTTAGAATTTATTTTAATATAGTGATTGAAGTGGTAGGCTTCAAATTGCGTAAAATTGTACCTATATCAATTTAAAATGTGTTCAATCAGTATATATAATTACACACACACACACACGCACACACACACACACACACACACAGTGGTATTTCATTTTAATTGTGGATTTTGAGTTTTTTAATCAGAATTTTCTTCTTTTTTTTTTTTTATCAGAGAATTTGTGAATTTTAAACAGAAAACCAGGATTTCTGCTTGGGCCACATGGATGCTGCTGTTCTAGGCTTGTCCTTGGACACATGGGAAGGATTCCTTGTGGCTGCTGATTTTTCATATAGGGTGCTGTGCTCAAGTGCATAGCTCTAGGACTGAAAAGGCTATGCATTTATCTGGGCTTAATATAAACAATGTTGTGGTAATAGCAGTTTCAACGCCGATTAGCTTCTATAATTTTCAAGGCTTCTGGTAGCAGCCCTTTGACAGCTACTTCCCTTCACCATTTCTGGTGCCAATTATGCAGCTAAGTGGAATACAGTTAAATTGCAAAGTAGGCAGTGGAGCTGAAAAGATGGTGCACTTACCTGATTATATAGATAACCAATGTTAATTATACTGTAGACAATAGGCAAAAAGGGACATGCACTGTGTTACGCTGTTAAACTAACTCTGTATGTATTGGGTATGCATATGTGGATGATTCTGTTTCTAAAACACTTATATTTAACGGTAGGAAAATTACAGGGGCAAGTAGTTCAAAACTCAAATGAAGCTTTTCTTTCTTTTATGTCTACAACTATAAAGTAGAAATTTTAAATGTGACTGTCTAAAAATGTATTTAGGGAGTTCAGAACTCATTTGGCCAGCTCAATTTGTAGCGAGCACAGAGATGACTTGGTCTGACATGTCCTAGTGCTGGCCCCAGCAGTTGCATAATGTACTGATTAGAACTGGATTTCACATTGGTACAAGAACCTGTCCACATGGAGTTCATTTCTAGATCAAAGCCGTAGTCTGGAAGTCATCTGGAGCTGTCAATGCCAAATAATGCC